TTTAAATTTAGACATTGTTTATCAAGGTCCTTCATACAATAACAAATGATATTTATTATACTTTAGTTTTGATGTATCGATGACAGATTTTTATAAGAATATAAGAGTTACAAAGATCAATTATATAATATCGTAAGACTTGCATCACATATTAATACCATCCATTATAAATACCGCAAATCTTTTTATATAAAGCGACTCGATAACCGATCGACAACATTAAAAGCTAGTAAATTTAACATATTTTACTTGCTTGGAATTATATATCATGTACAAAAACATGTATATTATATTCGAAAATATTTTAACGATAGTTAAGTACTTCGAATATTGTATTAAAAGCTTTAGAATTACCTTTGATATAGACATTTTTTATAGTCTATTATTTGTTAGGAATAATTTTTATTAAGAAGAAAAAAACTGTACATAATTATTTTAATAAATTTTCCTACTCAATAAATACAAAATAAAATAAATTAATTATATGTAGGTTCGAAGATATCTAGAATATGAAAGTAAGTATTCATGAAAACGAAATCTATGTTAAAAAAAAAGTGGTTTTTTATACGTTTCTACATATTTTTTGCTAAATTATTAATACTTAAAAACATTTCCAAAGTATTGATAAAATAATGATAGATTTCAAGATAAGTACACGTTTCAATGTGTGTAGTAAATATTATTTTGTTATAAATCGAAAAATTGATGGCAAGTGTAATAATAACAATTATTATTATTAAGTATTATTATAATTATTAAGACTTTTATTAAAAAAAAAAAAACTGATTTATATATTTGAAAATTTTTGGCAATCGCATATGAAGTATATTGAATTAATAAACTATGCTTCGACTATCATACAATAAAATACAAATAATTATTAAATTTAGATAAAACAGTGGAAAAAATATGATAAAAATTTGAAAATTACGGAACAAACTGACAATATATCAAAGAAATGAACTTAAGGACAAAAATTACGAGGCCGAAGTGTGGCAAAAGACAGAAAGAGAAAAAGATTAAAGAGGTTATCAATTCTCTAAGTTGCAAGAACTTTTTATACGGTGTTTGCTCACGTTGTATTATATTCATTTGCATCGAGAAATATGTGCATGAGAATATAGAGAAGCACGATAGAGAAGAAGAGAAGTGAAGAGCGAGACAACTTTTATTATGCCTTTGAATGATGTCTCGGTCGATGATTATCGAGGACTCGAACCGATTAGTATTCTTTATAAGATTTATCCATGTATACTTGATTCTTATTATTTCTTTTACATATCCATTTTATTTAGATTTTTTCGAGAGCTCCTGCTTTTACAATAATATGCGTGCTTTTACGAGTACTTCAAATATTCTTTCAAATTTTATTTTTATCAACATAAATAACTATGTAAATAAGTAGTTCAAGCATATATTATTATCAAATTAATATTTAGTAACTTTATATCTTCGTTACAAAATTATTCAAAAACAATAATTAACAAAAATATAATTAACTCTTACGCTTAAATTGCAATGCTTTTGTTATTTAAATATTTAAATTTAACGCATGTATGGAAAATTATTGTAGTTGTTTATTAAACTCTTGATGACAAGTAAATGGAACATTTTTTTTATAAAGCAATAATCATTCATTTTTATTATACAAAATTTTATATGAATTTTTTTTTGTTTTGTTTTTGTATTGTACAAAATAATAACATTGACGCTAAATAATAATACGGTAAGATAAAAATTTTAAAAGGTTCAATCAAGGTATACAATAATAATATTACATAAATTTTGATGAATTTATAAATCATTTTGAAAAACATAAATAAAATTACTATATTTTCAATTTAGTAAGTAATAATTTAATATTACCGAATGATTTACTATTTAAGTATTTGAATATGAATCAATGAGAATTCAATGAGAATCGTGTGATTATTTGATAAAAGTACTTCAGACTTAAAATATTATTAGCGTGTTTCTAACTATGCATTATAACTTGTTGCTGAGTTATGTCATTAAGCTTGTTTCAAAACAATAAATACAATATTAATTATTAATCTTAGTTAACTGATTTGAACGAATATAGTCATAAATAAAATATCTCTTTCCGTATAAAATAAAATGCTCGACACCGTTAGAAAAAGTTATTATTTTTTTCGTTGTTCTTTTGTTTTTTTTTTTTTTTTTATTTTTTTTATTTTTTATTTGCTAATAAAAGATAATGGAAAGTAGAAAGATGTATCGAATAATAATATTTCGGCTAAATAATACTTAAATGTGAATAAATTAAATATTAACGATGAACTTAATAAGTGTTAGGGTGTACAATTGTCGTATTATTAATTACATTAATCAAACAAACGGTTTATTTAAATTTTATTCTTAAATATAATCATTAAAATAAATGTTAATTAAATAATTTCATTATTTCATTTTTTTATTAATCATCATAATGCCCTTGAAATTGACAATGAAATTATTTTTTTCCCCCTATGAATAGGTATTACAAAAAATCTTAAATTATCAGAAAATAAAATATCGAATTATTATGATGCACCATAAACGATTCGATAAATTAACATTTAATAAGTGTTAACATTTAACAAGTTAATTTCTACGCCAATATAGTTGGGTTTAGAATCGACGAGAATACGTAACCGTATAATGTAAAATTATTGAAGATTTAGTATCTCGAATACACGTATAACTTGTGTATGTGTGTATCTTGATTGATGGAAATAGTGCGGCATTTGAGAGTATGTACTATTTACATTGCAGTTTATTTATAAGCTTCGTCAGGGCAAATGCCGTTTGTGTCTCTGCATGTGCAGCTTCGTCTAAATGCTCACTGCATCCGTTTCACCACCTCCCCCGCCCCCACCCCTCTCGCCAGTTCCTATATAGTTTGCGCATTCATCATCGATTCTAGAGCCTCTATGCTAATGCTTTATGTTGCATCTTACATTTTCTTTTTACTACATAACATCTCCTTTGGTTTATTCATATTACAGATTTATTGAATTAATTCATTAGGATGCTAATTCAGCCAGTTTTCTGAATGAGTTTAATGATATCATATTGAAATAAGCTAAACTGCTTGTTTCAAATAGTTCGTAATTTGTTGAAAGTATTTTAAAATACACATACGTGCATGTACGTGCGCATATAAATATATACGCATGCAAATACACATTATTTATATAAGCTTCGTAAGAACTTACATTACTTACATTGTTGTGATGTAATGTTATATTTAAAAGAATAAAATTCATATATTGCAAGATGTCACAATATTCTTATCATTATCCGTTTGAATTATTTTACAATGTGTAACTTTCTAATTTCACTTGGCAAATTATACATTTGTACAATATAGAACTGATAATACTGTAGAAAGCCTATTGATATTAATAAAGATTTACGAATGGCTTAATGCACGATCAATTACAAAGTAATTGAACTAAGTTAACACTGAATTTTCCATGTGCGTGCGCGTATGCGTTCGTCATTTGACATTGCCGAAACAGAATAGTTTTCATTATTATTGTATAATAAAGCGTC